AACGCTAGAAAGATTTCTCACATCAATACAACCAAATTTTATAGGTAAAGTAGCTTGAGTCCAGGCTGTTGTATTTCAAATTAAATTGAGAATTTTTCCTATAGCTATTTTAAGATTCTTATCTAGATTTAAGATCTTTTAAAATATCCGAACATTTTCAGACTAGATTCGAGCGGAGTAAGTATGTAAATCTTGTACTTGTACTTGTACTTGTATAAGGTACAAGGAGACAATATTTTAAAATAGTAAGAGCAATGTGGGTTTAATTTATAAAATTTATCAATGTGATTTAAAAATTGATCAAATTTTGTTTTTAAAACAGGTTTAATACTATCGAAAAACAACGAGGCACCTAGCAGATATACTGATTCCGTACTGACAGTTTTTATTCCTAGAGAAATATGATTGAAATTTTGAATCAAAGTATCTCTGTGAGAAGTAGATAAATTATTGGAATAAAATATATCACATTTATTACTATTTGGTTCAAGACCAATATATTTAAAATTTCGTAAAATATGAGTAAGATCTCTGAGGACGTCATCTGATCTCCCTCCCAGTGTACCGTCGTCCAGGTACCAGACATTCAGCTTGGCTTTCAAATTTGAAATAATGGGTTGAATTTCCAAACTGAAAAGTGCTGTACCTAGTGGTTCACACTGCTCAACACCCACAGCAGAATCGATAACATGGTTTTCGTAAAACAAGTTAGTGTTTTGACTGTAACATTGCCAAACGTAATGATAAATTTCGGGGGTATGGTTAGCCACTTCTTTCAGTAAGGTTAGTTACCCTATCGATAGAGTTAAAAGCATTCCTTAGGTCAACCTTCACAAGAACATTTGCATCAGAGTTTGTTAAAAATGTACGCACTGAATGTACCGCTGCCTCACAGCCACCTCTAGTGCCAAAGCCTAGTTGAATAGGCTGAAATTTTGTATGTGCCTGCAAGTTAATTTTGAAGTTAAGCGTCAAAATGTGGAACCAATTTTAATGAAATAATAAAAAGCATATTATTTTTCAAATCAAATAATTTTTATTCAAATGAAAACCAGACCATGCCGCTATTTTTAATTGGCAATATAAACTTAACTTTTATTAAAACCAGACCAAACACTCTCTGACCGATATTAGAATGGCTCTCCAGCATCTTAGAAACGGCAAGACCCTAGGCGAAGATGGAATTACAGCATAACTTCTGAAAGCAGGTGGAGAACCGGTACTTGAAGTCCTTCAGAAGTTCTTTAATTCCGTTCTCCATGGTGGGACTACTCCGGAGGCGTAGAGCAGAAGTGCGGTGGTCTTATTCTTCAAGAAAGGCGACAACGCTCTCTTGAAGAACTACAGACGAACTTCCCTTCTGAGCCGCGTCTAAGTGCTATTTTAGAAATTCATTACGAATCGTCTCGCACGCAGACTCGACGACTTCCAGCCTCCGGAACAAGCTCAATTCCGAAAATGCTTTAGTACCATAGACAACATACACACCCTTTGGCAAATTGTATAGAAGACTGAAGAGTACAATCTGCCACTTTTCCTTGCATATGTGGACTATGAGAAAGCCTTTGATCCCGTCGAAATTTGGGCGTTGCTACAATCCCTACATCAGTGCCAAGTTCACTGTCGGTATATCGAAGTGCTGAAGTCTTTTTACAGTAGACAGGTAGAAAAAAGAGTGACGTTATATCCTCGAAACTCATCACCGCTTTGGAAGACGTTTTCAAGCTACTGGACTGGAAATGATTACATCACTCACCTTCGATTTGCCATTTTTGACTTATTTTATATACTCCTCAAATGCATTCCAATTAACCAGATAATGTGTCATACATTTCCTGTTGTTTATTGTTTCATCAAACAATTATGTAAAAATAATTTTCCTCCATTTGTCCGACTGATCTTGAAATAATTTAAGCTTTGCGGAGATAAGAATACATAAATTAATTCAAGGGGTATTGCGAAAAAAACTCACGAGAGTAGTTTCTTACCTGTATTACTATTTTGTTTTACATTTTAACGAAAATATATTACCGTCTGGTCACGAACTATAAAAAAAACGGACTCCGCTCCACGCATATCACACGTGAAGCACTGTACCGATCTATATATGTATGCCTGATACCCTTAGCAAGCAGGTTGACGATCCCACAAGTCGGGGTATTTTACTCCTACACGGCTAGCATGGGCTGGGGATAAAAAATGTGTCCACCGATTATATCCACTGACAAAGGATAAAACTATCTTGTCCTTATGCCAAAACACGGCAACGTGGTGAGTAGTGTAGTTGTACCACTTCTAGACCACCTGAGTCAGACGTGGTTCAACGACGTTCGTCGACACCCGATCCTAAAAAAAAAAAAAAAAAAAAAAAAAAAAAAAAAAAAAAAAAAAAAAAAAAAAAAAAAAAAAAAAAAGGTTTTGGCATGCTCTGATCACGAATCCGCGGTCCGATAGGTTGTTTATTATAATTCTTTGTTTATACAACACTAATCTGAATCATCAATAAAACACATTACATAATTTTGTTACAATTTTTATTTATAAAATACAAAATCTTATTAATTATTATCTGTAAAATAGGAGCGAAACATCTCATCCACTAAAATATCGTTGTACAATGTGTTCCTTGTAAATATACTCGTAAAACTATGTATTGAACATCCTTGAAACTTATATAGTAAATACATTAAGCAATATTCGCCACAAACTGAAGTCCACTCATTCTGAATCCTATCAACATTCCAGTTCCATCTTTTACAATTCCTTTTTAAAAACTCTAGATGATATCGTACAGGTGATCGTCCATATGAATCAAAATATTGACCGACGTCATTCGTATCGATATATAAAGCTACCCAATGTGACCCTGGTTTATCATCTGTATCCAAATTACATATTATATGCGTTGGTACGTGGGTATACATAGGCAGTCTATTAGCTGCATAAACATTATTGTCTAGACTGGGGTGAATCTTTTTCAGATGTTGTTGTACATCTAGTGTATCCATGATATTACTGCTATTAGTAGATTATTACAGTACCTAGCTACTCAATGAATAACATAGGAATGGTCAATTATAGTGATTTCTACATATTAAATTGCATTTTTGTGATATACAAATCGTACTTGAGTCATTGATCACCAAACAAAACACAATACGAAGAAATGTTGAGATAGGCAACGGAAATGTGAGATAAACTGATATGTTTCTAAATATTAAATTGCATTTTTGTGTTATACAAATCGTACTTGAGTCATTGATCACCAAACAAAACACAATACGAAGAAATGTTGAGATAGGCAACGGAAATGTGAGATAAACTGGTTGACGCATAAAGTAATTATCAACTCATTACGGAAATACTTTAGATTAGAATTTTTACGTACTGGTGGTATATAAGACCAACAAACGCAGTCATCGAGTTAGTGTACGGTCGTTTGGCTACAGTGGATCTATCAATAGTACATTTGTGTTACTTCAATACACCAAAGGCTATGGATGTAAGTGTTTATTCTATTGACTAAATTACTTTTTTTCTGTTATTTTCATGTGTGTGTGTATTATTTTATTTAAATATTGTGTATGTATATGATTAAGCCGTGGTAACTCAGATGGTTAGCGCTAGCTGTAAATTTCACAGTACGCGACCCGGGTTCGATCCCCGCCAGCACCAATTAAATTGTTAATAGCAATTTTAAGTGCTTATTACCACGTGCTTGGTGGTGAAGGAAAACATCGTGAGGAAACCTGCATGTCTGAGAAAATTTCGAAGGCATGTGAAGTTCGCCAACACACATTGAGGGAGCGCGGCGGACATTTCCTTGCTCTAAAACCCTCTCAGAAATGAGAGGAGGTCTATGTTCAGCAGTGGACTTTAATAGGCTGTAACTTTAACTTTTTTAACTTTTATGATTAAGTGTTAACAAATTGATATTAACATGATAACTGTGTTGTTGCAGAAATCATTGAGCTTCGATGAAGATACCTATAAACAGTATTACTACTCGCCACTCTCCCCTCAAGAAGAGAGTGATAACCTCGTCATTAATAATAACACATGCGATGGTGGAAAAAGAAAATCGCAATCGATTGATCATTTTTTTGAAGCTGAATCAAAAATAAAAAAGAGGAAGCTGTTATCATCAACCGTAGCACGAGCCGCTAGAGATGGTGTATCATATATTTCTACTAATTCTGACGACGGAGACCAAGCGACGCATCTCATCAAAATTGAAATGTACGATATGAAGAAGCTATCCAAGATTCCAACTACTGATCATTGGAAACATGCTTCCACGAGAATTAAATATTACGTAAAGACTAATAAGGATAGCATCTACGACAATACAAACGCCCTCGTATACAATATAACAAAGACAATAGCAGAAAGTGAAAAAGTTAAAAAATACTTTTTTAACAATGACAGTCATTAGCTGATCATTAGTGAATGTGATTCTGTTTACTTCAATTACAGGAAGACAAGAGCGGAAGGAAGAGATGAGTGTGGCATACGTGTACAAAACACATCATTGAATAACAAAACTACAACACTGAGTGGAGAAGAAAACGAGAAGAGTATGCAGTACTCAAGAGCTGAATATCCATTCTTCAGTTCAAAATCTAGCCGTTTGCTTAGTTTCGAAAACTGGCCTCTAGTTATGCGACAGAAACCTGAAGATCTTGCCGAAGCTGGTTTCTTTTATACTGGCCATGCAGACGGGACCAAGTGTTTCCATTGTGGTGGTGGTTTAAAAGATTGGGAAGATGATGATGATCCTTGGCAGCAGCATGTTCAGTGGTTTAGTCAGTGTGCTTATGTAAAATTTCAACTCGAACAGTGTTTTGTATTAGATTAAATAGAAGATTTATAAAGAAATAAAAAAAATATATTGCATACAATTTGTTTTATTTAATTTTATAACGTTTCACATAGTTACATACACACAAAATGCATTACACATAACACATAAAATCTAACACACAACACATATTATAACCTTAACTACTATAGTCTACAGTAACATTTCTGTTTTTATCTATCTCAATAATATTATCAAACTCAGCATAAACTATACAGTTAATTGTTTGTATTAATGAGGATTCAAATCGTACTTCTATTCTTACACTACCATGCTTTATGAGATTCCAATGAGTTGATGAGTTAGCTGATAAATCAGGAGTTAAGTCAAATGCTAATAGACAGTAACCTTTGCCATACTGTTCACAAGAGATTCCATTTCCTTCATTAAGAAAGTGAATACCAGTTCCCGAGAATAGAGTATGATATGCTGATGTAAATATGCTATTATTAAAAGATGGTTGCAAAGCTTTTGAAGGTATTTGTTGACCATCAATATATAAGCTGAAAGAATTAATACCATAGTTTTCAAAGTTAAATGGATTTTTAGTAAGGGAACCATTAAATGCAGAATTGTTCACAAATCCAATTATACATCTTTTCGGTACCTGTCCTAAAAATATATTATCAAGAGTTTTTCCTTGAACACCTGAAGGAATTGTTAAAACTTTTACTTCAGCTCGAGTAATAGGATATTTAGCAGTGGTAGAAGCTAAAACTTTTTGATGTGCGAGTAATACACTTGGATTAATTCGTGCTCGTCGCACAATAAGAGTTGCGTCCGTAATGCAAACTTTAAACTTTACATCGTTCGACCCAACAATTAAATTAAAACTCTCTCTTGATCGAACCAATTTAACACTCATTTCAACACCATTAATTAAAAATTTATCTTGGTTAAAAATGTCACCGTGAAGATGACCAATCATTTCTATTTCCTTACTTTCACTAATCAATTCCTGTCTTTTAACAAATCCTATGTTTTTACCATCTGTAGAATCCATTTTTCCTGCTGTATCCTCATACCAAAGGCTACAAGTAAGATGAGATTGTTTAGCAGCAGGGGCATAGTTTAAAAGGGTTTCCATGTATGCTCGATATGCATAGGTATTATTAGGTGGTGATACAAGTTTTTGGTTTAAATAAACATCAAGTTGACTAAAAAGTGAATGCAGCCAATTATTTACAGGTGCTACTATTGTAGTAGATACCAAGTTAGTTGAATCTTGATTTAATACTTTTGCCTTTATGTGGAGTAATGTATGAGACAAATCTATGTAGTCATCGCCGGTCCCAGGAACTTGAAACTCGATAGGTCCATCATCACCAAGAGATGAAATTGGTTTATAATGAATCCACAATCCATTTTCAATGCTAGTTTGTGTAGACGGTAGTGCAAACAAATCCAATTCTGACTTAACGCACTCGCAAGAATGATTATGAAGGAAAGACATATTTAGTTTGAAAATATATCTTTGATATTTTTTGGTTTTAGACTAAGTTTTTTCGCAGATCCAGTCATGTTAAATTGATCAATTTTCTCATCAGCCTTTCGTTTTAAATTCGTACTAACTTGCTTTAGACGATCTTTTATTGAGGCTTCCATAGGACGGGCTTGAACCATATCCGATAAAAGTCCTACTCCAGCGCTTAATGCCTCCTTACCAATCACTCGAGCACCACTTGAAAGTAAAGGTAAAACTGATCTGAATAACCCCCCTAAGAAGCTCCCAATACCATGACCGCGTTGATATGGTGAACCCTTATAAATTACTCCAACTCCTGATCCAGCTTGATGTGTATAATAATTTTCATATGGACATTTATGATGATCACGAAGAGAATTCATTATTATAATTTTCGGAAATGTAGTTTAATACACACGGTTCCAAACTGGAATGGTATTTTTTGTCCTGTACTCGATCTTATAACTATTTCCAACGTATCGAACTCTCTTCGCATAACAGGTAAGTAGTGAGGTTGAGAGAAAACGTGCATTTTATTTGCACCATAAATGTATTTTGTAGGATCTAATGAAATGACTCTTAATAAAGGAGTCATAACATCACCCACAATCTGAGGATCGATAATGTCGCAATATAGAAATAGTTGAGATGGTAACCCTAAGTGTAAATTAGCAGGACACTTTCCAAAATTTCTCTCTAGGAGATTTTTATTTGGTTCATAACCTAGCTGTAAACTTAATTTGGGTGATAATGTTACGGATGTTATATTTTTATCCAATACCGAAATAGACACAAATTTTGTTATTTCATCATAGCGAAATTTCAAGTTCTCTCCGATACCATTTAACACTCTTAAAATATGCTCAACGTTATCATAGTTGATAGCTGGAATATGTTTTTTGTAGTACACTGTGGATGGCTTATCTTCATTAGGCATTAACATAGATTTTGTAATGTATATAACATTTTCATGGTCTTGAACAGTAAACATGGTACATGGATATTGAAACTCGACAACTCCAACCGACCATTCACCTTCTAATTTTATAGCTTTTGGTAATTTCGTTGAAAATTTTGTGGTCTTGTTATCAGGAAAGTATTCCATTGAACTATTGCTGAGCAAAGTTAAATAGAAACTTTCTTTATTCATATTTCTTTTAAACTAGAAGCTAAAATCCAACTGTTAAATTTATCTGGATAACCTTTCCACTTCACTAATACTTCTTTTCTGTTACCTGAATAACGAGTGTCAATTATTTTATCTATTTTATGTTGTGAGGTGGGGTTGTAAGTGATTTTCTGTAATTCTCTTTCATAAAAAGTACCAATTATTGGTTCATTTTGTAAATCTGTTATTGTATAAACAACCCATGGAGATCTATCAATTATTGAAGATATAATAAATATTTCATCACTCCAATTTGATTCATATCCTTTTTGGAATACATGTTTATATTTAGTTATTCGAACATAATCACCCACATTGAAATTTGGTTTAGGATTTTCTAAAGAAAGTTTTTTTGACCGTCTGTCATAAAGATTAGTCCAAACTGTCATAATATTGTTGGAATTTACATCACATGGGCACATCTTAATACTAGAGTGAAAGCTGTGATTATAAGAGTATATTAAATCTTGTAAAACATCTATATATCTATAAGTATTATTATGAGTGAAATAACGCCACATTTTCATTTTTAGTGTTCTTTGAAATCGTTCAACAATACTGGCCTTAATGTCAGGATTGTTAGTGGTATAGTAATTAATCTTTTTGGATTTAAAGTATTTTTGTACATCTTTTGAAACAAATTCTGTACCTTTATCGGATTGTATGTGAGTAGGTGTTAAATTACTTTCAGTAAATATACTTTCAAAACATTCTTTAGTTGTTTCTGAGTTTTTCTTTTTCATTGGTCTTGCAAAAGCATATTTACTAAATACATCAATAATACAAAGTATATACTTGAAACCATCATTATATTGAGAATAAGTTCGCATATCACTTAAATCAGCTTGCCACAGTTCATTAATATTTGATAGAATGTACCTATTACGCGGGAATTTTTTTCGAATGGGTTTATGTAATGTGTATGTTTCTTGTGATTTTAACCATTCCTTTACTTGCTTTTTATTCATTTTACCCTTCATGGCTTTTGATAATTTATCAATACTACCAAAACCAGCGGGATTAGATGGATCATAATAAATCCTGTTAATTTCTTCTAGTACGGAGTCCATTTTTCCCACTCAAGTCCTTTACGTATTTTAGTTGTAGACTTTTTATCTCTACTGCACGGTGTAGAAAACTCTTGAACTTCAATCTCAGAGGGTTTGTTCAGATCTTTTGCTTGAAGTTGGTTAATAAACTCACATCTCCTTGGATTTCCAATATAAGTAAGTGGTACTTTAATATCTTTTAATGCTTCAGCAAATCTAACCCACCCTACCGGATCACTTCTTTTTAGGGGTCTTAGTGAATCATTTATTAAATCAACAATATTACTTCCAGGAATTTTTTCACTATCAATTATGACTGTACCTTCGTTATCCCAATGTATTTTACTTGTACTTGTTTCAACTAAGTTTAATAATAACTGCCCTTTTTTATGATAAGTTTTTGGTATTAAACTGAGTATTTGAGCTGGTGTGTAAAGTGGATTTTCATCATTTTCTTTACTTTTAATGGATCGATTCTCCTCCAGCAAAGATTCAATATCAACTGAAGTTTTTAGATCTCTATCTTTATTTTTAAAACCAATTTTTGACTCATTTGAATCTTCATTAGATGTATCAGAATAAATTGGTAATTTGAGTGGTTGACGATCCTCTTCGGTAAAATGAAGGTATCTTTGCAGTGTTTGTAAATATAATATCCATTTCTTTCGGTCTTCCGTCTTACTATTCATAATATTTTGCATTTCAATATCTAATCGAGATAAATTACTATTAACCTTATTTTCTTGTTTTAATTTTTCAATCAATCCAGGTTCGATAAGTATCATTTTCCTTGCATTTTCCATGTTAACTGGCTAGTCCACTCACTAATCCACTCAATATTGCACCTAATATTGTTGGTAAGAAAGCCCCTCCTTTTTGTATAATTATATTTTTTCTTAGTTTATGTTTACACTTACGTACTAGTTTACGGAGTATGTTTTTATGTTTATTCAATTTTTGTTTATCCTGATCTTTAAGAGGTACTTTTCCTTGTAAAACGTTATGAATACACTCACAAATACAGTTAATTTCTTCTTCATCACACGTTTTAAGTAATGCTCTTTGATATTTTGGTTTAAGCGTATGCAAAGCGGTTAGCAAATGTTTATACGTTGTGAGTCGACGATGCATCATTTAGCAATGATTTCAATTGTTTGATTCTTGGTGTATTTAAACTCTTTTGTGGGGACGTAGACTGTACAGAAACCATTAAATGGAAAGACATTTGTCTTGATACGACAAAAATCATTGGTATTCTGTTTTAAATCTACCATTAAATATCCATGTGCCTCTAGAGTTGCATCCCTGTAGGCATTTTCAATGAATTTTGGGTTATCTGGTGATACTTGTCTTGCTAAATATCTTATTTGAGTTTTATCTCGAGGGTTTTTAAAATATATTATATAACTTGAGTTTAAAGATATGTCTCTTTGTCCTTTACCCTGATGAAATAAATTTTGTGTTAGATAAAATACACTAAGATTCCTGTGATAACTACCTTTTGTAAATATATCCACAATTCTTCCATCGGACTCTCTCATTAGATCATCAATAATAACAAGATGTGGGTTTTCACCATCAAACATATTAAGATTTGGAATTCCTTGATGATAGTTAACATTTGGTAAATTATATAATGGTTGCATTTCATCAAAGCACCATGTGATCTGATTAAAATCACAATTACATATTTCTGTAACTGATTTTATGAAATTTGTTACAAAATTTGACTTCCCACACCCACTTGGTCCTGCCACAATAGCAGTGAACGGATGGATAAAGTGAAACATAACACACGTCTAAAGTTCAAAGGGGTGAAATAAAAAATGAAAGTGTTGGTGTAAACAATTAATATATATTCCAAAAATTATATAAAACAGAATTATCTGTATACTATTTCTAACACAATTAGTACATCATAATTTTACAATTAACTCAACCTCAAATAAATAGAAACAACAATTAGTACATCATAATTTTACAATTAACTCAACCTCAAATAAATAGAAACAACAATTAGTACATCATAATTTTACAATTAACTCAACCTCAAATGAATAGAAACAACAATTAACTTAAATTATTTACAATAAAACAATGTTTAAATATGTAATAAACTACGTCATATTATAGTATTATCATAATTTTACAATCAATATAATTTTTTCTTAAACGCAGACATAAAAGTAAAAACTATCAACACTTAACGCAGTTTATAATGACCCCAAGCTAATGTTTCAATATTATTATCTAAAATATGTCTCTTTGTGTCATTATATGATAAACCTATCTTATTTAATTTTTGTGTGAAAATTGTGTGTTTAATTGATTTAAATCTAAGCATACTATAATATTGCACTTTTTTATTAAATAGAGAAGACTTATAACTATTCATTGTCATCTTTTTAGTGATACATTTATTTACCCCTTTTGCCTTGGCTATAGTCTTATTCTCTAAGTTAAAAGCGTACATTTTGGATCGTAAACCCACAAATTCTTTCATGATTTTACCATTATTTTCATCTTTAAAAAAACCTAATTTCTTTTTATTTAATTTTGGATATTCAAAAATATTATTTGTATCATAATCTGAGGTATCAAAGTATGATGAAAGGTCAGGTTTTATATCAGTGTAAAAATCATTTGTAAATATATGATATATTAAACTATCCGTATCTGTATACAATAATTTGATTTTACTAAACTTTTTAATCATATAGTTATAATGAAAATCATACATTAATGTTTTTGAAATATCTAAAATGCAAAAC